AAAAGACTTCTCTTTTCCTCTTCTGTTTGTTCCCTTTGAATTTCCAGAATCAAACAAATATCAAACTGATTTAAGAGAATTGCGTTGTTGTCCTAATTTTATTGTAGATTTTGGAAGTTGTCATGCTGTCTCTTAATGAACAACAGTTTTCCTGTTTGCCTTTTCACATCAGACATTTTGACTTGTCGTACTGGGAAAAACACAGGTTTTATTAATGACATTAATTATGGCTCTGTTCTTTACAAGTGTCACAGTTGCCTGACAGTCGCCTTGGCAGTGTGACAGTGAGCCAACATGCACAACACAATTCAGTCATTGTTGATTTTTTACAAATGTGCTGGTTACCTGGCAACTTCTGACTATCCTGAAGAACTATTTATTTCATGTAACTTTGCATAAAAAACACATGTTGTGCCTTTTAAGAACATTAATCACTGCACCCAAAACCCCCCTTGTGAAACCATAACTTGTAATGAATTGGTAAACCAGATTTGGTAGGTGAATTTGTATTTTTATGACTTTTTATTAACTATACTGTAGCTGAGCTACGATAATTGCCTGTATGCTCCATCTCCAACTTAACTGAAGGCTTGTTTTCATTAGTTATTTTACATAGAACGTTAATTTTACTTCATGAAAAAGCATCTCTCCCAGATATAGTTTGATTTCTCTGAGCTTTTGCACTTCAAATAAAGGTATCATTGAGATTGTCTAGAATGGATATCACGTCAAAACATACTCTAATCCCAAAAAAAAGGGATATATTTGTTATTGTTCTCCAGTGCCATGGACCACAGTATGTAGAAGTGTGTGTGCATCAGCTGTCAACATGCACATCTGCAGTGATGGGAGGATTAACAAAACCTAAAACCTAGCTGCTGACCTTATCTAAGGTTTAAATCAGGTGCATTGATTAAGAATGACAGCTGCATTAGATGTGTTTAGTAACCAGAAACTATCCTGCCGACCAACTAGAATAGAGAATCAGTGGTCATGGTGTAAACAAAGCCTAAATAAACAGAAGGTGAGCATGTATGCACAAACGTCTCCGTCCCAGTTATGTCATTCAACATATAGGCAGAGTAAGGGAAGTAGAAACAGGCAGAAACTAAATGACAGTGTGGGCAGAACTGAAAAAAGCTGAGCGGGCAACAGACGGCTGGAGGTAGACGCAGTGAGAGAGGTGAGACAGAGTGAGGAAGTAAACTCTAAACAAATCACATTTCAGCTCACCAGTGTGACTGTGTTCAAACAGAAACAAGTCTGAATTTTTCTCATTAGCACAACAATGTTGGCTTCCTTTTGTACCTAGTTCGCTTCAGTGATTACAAATGAGATGTTAGCAGAAGAGAGACGGACCAAGACAGGCAGAGTTTGAGCAAATAAAAAATATAAAAACGGTTAGATTATTGGGCAAGCAGATAAAATAAATCGGTTGATAGCCAAAGCTAGATGGCATTTTCCCTGTGGTGTGAAGTGGCCCTTAACCACTGTATGAGAAACTGTGCGTGTGTGTGTGTGTGTGTGTGTGTGTGTGTGTGTGTGTGTGTGTGTGTGTGTGTGTGTGTGTGTGTGTGTGTGTGTGTGTGTGTGTGTGTGTGTGTGTGTGTGTGTGTGTGTGAATAAACTGCTAAATGTAGTACAAGTTGTAATACCTTATTAAGGTACCTTATTAACTAGACAAGAAATTGTAAATGGTGGAACAATATATGAAGTAAACTCAGATTGAACCGAGAGATCTTTTAAGGTCTTTCCCATGAAATAATAAAGACAGACTTTCCAAGGCTTATGTTGCTCAATGTTCAGTTAATGAGCAGAGGTGTGAGCAGGCAGTCCTGACCTTGAGGTCTCTACTGTAGCTCCTGCCAACGCTACATAATGAACACGTTCTCAGGTCTGCTATCTCCGTGATTGGGTTGAAGTGTTGCTGGACAACTGACGACAGTAGCTGGAGGAGGTGATGAGAGGTGTGTGTGTGTGTGTGTGTGTGTGTGTGTGTGTGTGTGTGTGTGTGTGTGTGTGTGTGTGTGTGTGTGTGTGTGTGTGTGTGTGTGTGTGTGTGTGTGTGTGTGTGTGTGTGTGGTGTGTGTGTGTGTGTGTGTGTGTGTGTGTGTGTGTGTGTGTGTGTGTGTGTGTGTGTGTGTGTGTGTGTGTGTGTGTGTGTGTGTGTGTGTGTGTGTGTGTGTGTGTGTGTGTGTGTGTGTGTGTGTGTGTGTGTGTGTGTGTGGTTTAAATGGTAGAAAGGGTTCCCTGTTTCATGTTCAATCCTCTCATATGTTGATAGTTAAGAGGAAAAGGAATAATAAACTGAGGGTGTGAGGATTTACAAGCTAGACTGTGCATTTGTGTGTAAAGTTAATATCATTATTACCATTAAGGCCATCAAGCATCTGCAGGCCCTCGTAGACTCAGTAACACACTAACACACTCCATTTTCCAGAAGGCTGACTTGCAATATATATTCATGAACCCAAAATGCAATGTAGATTTTGCCTAATAATGTCATGAAGGAAAGGCTGAGTACTATATAAAAACCCACGAGTGTACACTTAGATTAGTAGTGTGTTTGGTCATGAATGCTTAACAGCAGAAATATCTGATCTGAGATGCTGCGGTCTTTATGGGGCTCAACTATTCTCTTGAAGAATACAGCAGGCTTTGGTGTTCGTCACCTGACCCTGGTGATCTCGAGAATGAATTCACTTTGTTTTTTGCCTTTTATATTCTGCAGTTCAAGACATAGTCCTTGATCTGGTGTAGACCACTGAATCAATTAAGCTATTGTGGTTTATCGAAACCCAATGAATGCCTTTTATTTTTATGCTTGAGAAAAATGATCAGGCTGCACAAGCTTTGAAACAGAATATTAACACTTAAAGGTGGGGTAGGTAAGTTTGAGAAACCGGCTCGAGATACACTTTTTGTTATATTCCATGGAATGCTCTTAACATCCCGATAGCAATGAATATCTTAAGTGCTTTGACAAAAAATCCATAAAAATATTTCATCTGTGGAAGCAGTAATACTGTAAAAAGCACGACCAATCATTTTAGCCGGCCCGGCTAAAATAACTGGATGGCCTACCTGCCTGTCAGCCTTCCATCTGTGCACAAACTTATCTCGTGCCCTCATTGGTCATGTGCGCGTTCGTGTGTGTTGGAGGAGGGGCTCTATAAGGAAGTGGCAGATTTTCTCCGGTTGTGTATTTTCAAATTCTAGCGATCTCGAGCCGGTTTCTCAAACTTACCTACCCCACCTTTAAATGCTCAATTAGAAATTATAAAAGGGGAACTTTAATCTGTTGAACTACAACAAAATACACACACCTTCTATTCATTCTTATTTATATTATAGATAAAGAGAACAATCTTTAGCTTACATCTCGTCTCACATTAACTTGACACTAACAAACATTGTTTACTCCGCTGTGCTTTGTAACTCCATTTTGAGCCAAAACTACAAACTACTACACAACAATGAGCCATACTGTTGCACAGGGTTTTTTCAAACATCGTCCTGCTAGAGATACTCATCAGACGCTCTGCATTTTAATTGGCATTATGTAGAGCATATTTCTAAAAATAGTACCCAACAATTAGCACTTTACCCCTGTTTGAATATTGTAGGCAAAAACAACAGTGATCTGCTGTCTGATGAACTACCTTTGTTTAGGAAGGGTTTTAGAATAGTTTAGGATTGTTTTTATCCAAATCAGGGGTATATATTTTCAAATGTAGAGAACTTCAAGACAATCCAAACCATAGTAGTCAAGGTATTCTAGTCCGTACCAAAGTGGTGAGCCAACATACAGACCCTTAGACAGACTGACATTTATATCCCTCGGGAGCCATGCCATTAGCACGGCTAACAAGGTTTCCTGATGCATGACAATTACGGATGAGGGGGAAGCAAGGAATAACAGATGGTAAAATGGAGTGACATGTCCTCCACCAGAACGCATGAACATTTCAGATGTCATTAATTCACATAACCCATGGCCACTAACTAAATAAATAAAAATAAAGCTGTGTAAAGCTAAAATGCGTGTTTCTAATTGTCTTTCATTTATAGTAACAAAGCACTTATATACTAATAAAGGACTGGCTTATCTAAAGCCAGTTGAGTAGCACTTGAAATGTTTTAGCTCTATGAAACCTGATGTACTTATATGATTCTGTTTTCTTCAAGTTTGTATCTTGTTGGTCGAATGCACTTATTGTAAGTCGCTTTGGATAAAAGCGTCAGCTAAATGCAATGTAATGTAATGTAATGTAATGTAATAGTTCCTGAAACCATTCATTTATTCCCGAATCACATTTGGCTCACAATCAAACTAGCATGCTCTCACCAATTAAAATATAAATCTAAATGAACACAAAGACCTATCAAATAAAAATAAACGAATACACATTATTCTTTTCTCGTTTTATCATGTAATGTAGATGTAGTGTCTTCACTTGTATGTTTCCAGTGTAAATGTGCTGATGCGCAGATGTGTTTTAGTATATGTGTACGCACTTGCGTATGATAACTCGTTGCTGTGCTCTGAGTGTGTGAGGTGAGGGGGTTAAAGAAGCCACTGAAGTGCTATGAGTTGTATTGATTGAACGTTCCCCAGTGCACGGGTTAGCAGCCCTATGAAACCAGACAAGCAGAGGATTGAAACCTCGGCTGCAGTGATATTGACGGGTGAAATACTTCCATTCTACTTCTGCTCAGCGTTTGAAAGTCTCTTTTGTAAATGTTACATCCTATTGTCTATGCTGAGGCTGACACATGCCATTTGAGCAGAGTAGTGACAGAAGACACGGTCTGACATCTGGGACTTGCTCCAGATTGAGCTATACAAAATGTGGACTATCATGAATGTGGGTTCACAGATGTTTTCTGTCATTTTACTCTCAATATTAAAACAATCATTGTGTCAAAAATGAAACTTAAATGTGTATTTTATTTGTGCTGCATGTTTCTGATTAGTTATATGTTCTTTTTCTCTACAGAGCTCCATGTATTCTCTGGCCCTGAAGTGTCTGATCAGCCTATCCACGGTCATACTGCTGGGCCTCATCATAGCCTACCATGCTCGGGAAGTTCAGGTAAAAACACATGCACATATACACACTGACACAGACCAACTCACTGGCAGGTGTTCCACATTTTGGTAGCTTTAGTTGCTTAGCTTTGCTAAAACGTATAAGATCACCAATACTCTGTGATGACAATGACTGTACCTATGGAGGCCAATAGCTTAGCTTAGCATAAAGACTGGAAGCACTGTAGCTACTCTGTATCAAAATCAAGAAGCTCACTAGTTAACACAATATATCTTGTTTGTTAAATCGTACAAAAGCTATCATATACCATAAAAATATAGTTAAAGTGTCAGAAGTACAATTTGTGGTTTTGCGAAGTGTTATGTGCACGACTATTGCAATGCTGCAGAAAGTCACATTGTCTGGCCAAAAAGTAGTTATACACTCTTAAACCCTTTTCTTTAATTATTGAACATTATAGATGCTGGAAGGAAGACATTTAACTTCAAACGAAGACATACTAGCTGTTTCCCTTTGCTTACAGACTGTATGCTATGCTAAGCTAACAAATTGCTGAAGCGTATACTTAGTGGACATCCTGGGTCTATTATGGAAAACATGCAGTCACTCTGGTTGAAGCTGGTGCTCACTGGCTATGCTCGTTGTCGGTGTCTGGGATGGCGCGCACATTCCGTCCAATCAGTGCCGGGCTTTATATAAAAACGGTCCTGGCCTCTGATTGTGCTTTATAATATTAGCTGATTTAGATGTTAAATACTGAACAATCATTTTCCTTTCTGATTTAATCAGAAGAAAATACATAGACTGTTTTTGCTCTCACCCTCTGACCGGCTGCAAAACACTTTTTTGTTACCCTTTAGGCTTTTTACACATTTCGTTTGTGGTAGGTCATACATTTGAATTGTATCAATATTCTCGTACTGTATTAACCAAAATGTCGGCAACTTCTTTAATGCCTTCACCTTTTTTTGTTAAGGAGTGGTTTTCATTTAAGATGAGTCGATGCACATATTCGCTCTGTAAAAGCGAACACATAATGTGGTCTCCCTCCAACTCCTGAGATAAACCAAGAGACCCAGGTGTGTGTCAGCTCCAGTCCATTAATGACTATAATGAGCATCTTTGTGGGATCGAAACAACAGTCTGAAACCGAATGTTGAATACACACTCAGCCAATAACGACCCTGTCTTTCAATAGATGAATACACACATAAACATATACATACACACACATGCAAGCCACACAAACACACACATAACTTCAACCTCTTCTAAGGCTGAAACAATCAATCAGAAAATGCTTTCATGCTTCTTGATATCTGCTTTTCTTTTTGTCATTTCACTAATATAATGGTACCTCGGTCATTTAGCCTGAGTTTTCATCTGAAGCCATTTGCAATCGATGCACATTGACTATTTATGGGAGCCTTGCGGGAATCAGACCCAAAAGTGCCCCCATACCAGCTATTACTCCCACCAGCTAAACCACAGAGCAACTCTCATCCATCTCTTCCCGTATTAGTTTAATGCTGTGACTTTTTTTCATCAAATCGCAGCTTGGATGTTGCTGGAAATGTCTATTACAGCTACAGCGAGTTCTGATGCTTGCTGCTCTGAGGCTCTCAGTCTGTAGATCAATAACTTGATGGCCATTGCTTATTCACTGCCACACACAGGGGCAGACAGACTGGCCTTAAGTCTGTAATAGTTTGATGTCACTTTCACATATGGAGTCAGTCATCCTCCCACGCTCACTGTGGCTGGCTCACGTGACAGGCACACTAATAGCGATGGGAGAAGAAAAGATTGATACTGTAAGGGTCTTCTGTTAATCTCTTTGAGAAATCATTCCTTTTATTAAATGAAGTCAGGAGTTTCAGGAGGAGTGCGATGAAGATATGGATGGAAATGGCAGCAGGGTGGGGGAGGTGAAGATTTGATATATCCCCAAATCACTTTTGATAATAACTAGAGTGAGGATGGTGATAAATTATAAGCATTTTTTCACTCTCTGGCAGCAGACAGCTCAAGGGATTATCCTGGTTTATTACAGCTTGTATTATTTTGTAGTTTTGGCCATCATTTCTATTGGTTATGATAACACTGTACTCACGAAAATTGCTGAAACCTGGGACCACAGTGACATTGCAGTCAGATAATCCGGTTTTAACCACTTTATTAAGAAGTGAAACCAAAGAGCAGCACATTTGAAATGCTGGTGATAATTCCTTATTGCACAACAACTAAACTGTCACAGGTGGCAGTGAAAGAAACCTCTAAACAAAACATTGACATATTTGAACAGCTTTCAAGTTGATATTTATTATAAAACAGCTGCTTGCTTACACATTCAGCAGTAAGGGGTAACATATGTTCTTCTTTGGAGTCGTGCTCCCACTTGCTTGTTCAATATTCTTCCTCTTTCAGCTGTGTTTTCGGTCCACTCCTGAGGGAAACATATGGGTTTAAATGCTGAAAAGTGGCCTACAGTTGGAAGCAGTATTAAACAGCTAGCCTGGCTCTGACAGTGAATATGTGCAGCATCCCAAATTGCCTGCTCACATATAGGCTACGCCTCGAGCAATACACATGTTTCATTACATCCATGTTGGTTTTATTATTCAATACCTGCCAGCTGATGCCGAGCCTGTTTGCTTATACATGAGCAGTATAACAAGTGTCCATTTGTCCCTGCTTTTATCGGTGGATGGGACGAACACACACAGATACACCCCAAGAGAAGTAATGCTGTGCAAAATGAAAGGCATTGTTCAATAAAGATCTCATTCTTAGATTTTGACACACTCTGCTGGAGCGTTTTGCCCAGCATGTAACAGGATATTACATGCACATGCACATGCACACACAAACACACACACACATACACACATTTGCACAGAAGGTAGGAGAGGCAGAGAGCCTAGAGATCAGAATGATGTTATCGGGTTTAGCTGGCATTTATACCTCCTTTCTCTCTCCCTCCTCATGTCTTTTATCTCACAGTACTTTTTGTTTACCACCATCAGTGTGCTTCTCTGTTTCCTTCTTTTTTCTTTCTTTCTCCTTCTGCTTCTTCGTCATTATCAGATTACATCTGTCTTCCTTTTTCTTCACAGGGCTTCAATTAAATGTTGTGAGTTTCAGATCCTTTCTTCCTGACTACTCTCCTGCTACTCAGCGTCCAGCTTCTCACCTATTTACCCTTCTCCTGTGGTACTTCCACACTCTCCTGCTATTCTCACCCTCTTAAAACCCTCACTGTCTTTTTTTGTTGCCTTTTATCTTGTCCCGTTTTCATTCGTCTCTCGTATCGTTCCTCTTTGGATGTTTCTTCCCTTCCTCCCCTCTCTTCATCTTCACTGTCTCTTCTAATCTGCCAGGGGACAGCCCAAACCAATTGTGCTCAGCATGGAATAAGGGGGAAAGGGGGGAGATCAATGTTCTTGTTAACTATTGACAGTAATTATCTTGTTATGGAAGAGAGATAATTGTTCTCAAGCAAATGAGAGCTTGTTTCAAGAAACAAGATCGTGACGCAAAAGGGAAAAGCTTTTTGTTACAGGGAGCTGACATCAAACACGTTTCATTTCGTTTTTATTTCTTTCATTTTGAGACCAGAAAATGGAAAATCCTGGCCAAAAGTAAAAACAAATGATAACAAAAAGAAATTCACCATTTCAATTCAACTTTGATTTTCATTTGTTTATTGTTAAAATTAGCGTAGCATAAATGATCACATTGACAAACCCTTCCAAAATCATTTTACAGCGTTCTATTTGCTGTTAAAATACCCCAATGTTTGATCTTCACAGTTATCATTCATGTTCCAACATTTTGATGGGATGGCTTCTGATTGTGAAATGTATCAAGTCTGTCTTGCTCTCTTGGTTGTTCTCACATACTTCTTTGAGCGAGCTAATCCCTAAAATCCTCCTGAAATTCAGATGGGGATCTCATTGGATAACAATGAAATTATCCCTGAGTTACCATTTCATCATTGTTTACAATGTACTTATTAGATTGTGTCAGTGTTGCTGCACAGTTGGGGTTTAGACCCTTTACCGCATTAATGGTACAAGAAATCAAAGATGTTGGGGATTTAGTTACGTTGATTTTGCCTGCAATTCTGATGAATGGGATGAATATCTTTTCATTGTGGGAATTTTCTTGATTGATTAATATACTGATAACTATGTAGTACAATTACAGCCTAGTGCTGTTGCTTGTGTTTATAAAGCAGTGACCAGAGAAAACTGTGCTGACATAAGAATAAGACACATAAATAACTGGTAATTATAATATACATGTCCTTTTTTGGAAAGGGTCGGCTGTAACTGACCACCAGACTTTGCTGGCTCTGGCTCGGGGGAAAAGGTTATGGCATTTAATGTGAAAGCAGTAGTGAGTCAATCATTTCCAAACAGTTCAGTTGGGTGCACTGTTGCTTTCGTCAATGTAAGAGTGTTTTCTGTTAGTAGTTCTTTTAAAATGTCTTTAGAAAAAAACGTATTTGCACAGATTCCAGAGAATGTACACTATCTTTCAAGGAGAACTATATAGAAAACCCAAAGAAAGAAGTTTGAAAGTGAAAACATTTTTGAGAGTTTGCAAGACCTCGAGGCTACAAAGGCTACACCCAAATCTATGACTGAATTTGTCAGCTGTCAAAATCCATTGTGGATAATGTAGGGACCAGGTTTTGACAAGTGCATGACATTTCTTTTGTATCTCTGCTAGATACGTTTTTTTGTAACTGTCCATCAGGAGTGCAACAGTGTGCTGGACTGCAATACTAAATTGATGGAGTGGGGCTTAATCAGATTTAATCCGTACATTTAAACATTGGTTTTGAGAATGAGAAAACGTTTTAAACATTCATTTACACTATTATGTATACTGTATGCATTGTTGGCACATTTCGCATAAGATTTAAATGAACGTATTAAAGATAGAAACACTCATAAAAATTGTTGTTACAGTCAAGATTGTATTCATTTGAACAGTGTTACCGTGGTAACGCTACCATATTCCTGCTTGACTAC